AACTGTTAATGGTTTTAAACAGCTGCTGTTTCTAGATTTTGGAATAGGAATGCACTGAATTAAGTCGGGGGCACCATTTCCCATCAAGCTGCCATACTGGGTCTTTCCCCTTTCCCCGCAGTCCTACCATCTGGATAGGAGAAATGAAGAAGCAAAGGGAAGTTCAGGGGCCTGAGTAGAAGAAGCATTTGCCACAGGTAAATAGTTCGATGTTTTCGACTCTTGAGGTGCAACTTTAGAAGACTATGCTGAAAAGTCTGATTGTGGATCGGGTTCCTTTGCAGGACTTGGAAACATTGAATAAGCAACCCATCAGACAGTTTTAATTTTTGCTTCCCTACTTTTGCTTCCCTAATTTTCCTCATTATTACCTAATTCATCACGTTAGTATTGTGGTGAATTGTTGTCACACAAGCACAGCAGCACAGCTCTAGTGCTTCTGAGCCCAGAAGGGTGTGCCGGGAGGAGACACAGACATAAAATATCCCAGCAAGGAAATGAAACGCTTAGACAGACTCACTAGGCCCTACGGATCCTGCTTAATTTCTTGACCAAACGTCTGTGATAAGACTTGTGGCTTGGCTCACTTTTCTTTACTGATGTGCTGCTCTGAATATGTTCTGACTCAGTCTCGCAAGTAATTCTCTTGTCTTTGGATCTGCCTCATATACTCCATATGTAAAATGGGAATCTTTTCTAGACCAGCTTCTAAGAGACTAGAACAGTGTACTAAATTGGAAACTATTTAATTCCTTGATGATATACTGCCTGTACACATGTCAGCTGGGTCGGTGTGGAGTCTGGATGACACTGGGCACAGCTTTACAGTTTACGTTCGGTGCCTCTGGTACACAACCATCTGGACGGCAGCAAATCTGCCTTCCCCAGCCTGGTGCGCTCCAGTTGCGCTGGACTTCAGCTATCAGCGCCAGCATGGCTGATCCTTAGGGATTCTGGGAGTTGTAGTTCAAGACATCTGGAAGGCACCAGTTCAGGAAGGCTGTGGTGCACTGACAGTGTGTGGCAGCTTCTTATCTGTGAGGCCAGGCCAGGGCCTGCTTTCTCGCACAGATGCGAAGGATCAACATATTTCGACACAGTGGGAAGTTGTGGGATTGCAGCATCGCTGGCCCAGCTTACAACCTGCAGTGCCAGTAAGACTTTCGGAGCATTCCACCTCACTCCCGATCTGCTGGCAAGACCCGCTGCCTCTGCACACAGTCTCTGCGTGCAACATTTCTGGACGCCAGAGGCACCGTCCCGTAACAGCTCAGCCTAAGCGGTGGCAGCACATGCAGCCTCCTCTCTGGCTCGAGCCAACTGGGTGCGCGCTGTCTCTGTCTTTCTGAGCAAGGGCTGCTGGAGGGACGCAACCAGCTGCACGGCATTCATGCCCTGCCACCTGCAGGCCTTGCAAAGGCATTCCGCCGAGGGCGCTGGACCGGAAGGGGAGGCAAGTGAGTTGCCCGAGGCCACAGACAGACTGGGAGGCAGTAGCTGGCTCTCAGGCCAAGACACCAAGCCACGCATTGGACCCCAGCTGCTGCAGTGAAACGAGCCCGTTGCTGTCCTTCTGAATCAACCCCTCCACAAGAAATGCATTTCTCATGACCTGCCTGGATCATCAAGCCATTGCTTTCAATTCAATGACCTCAAGATAATTTCCGGGGTCGCTCTTGCTTCCGGTCAAATGTCTGCCTTTCCCCACTACCCTGGCCATACAGGCCAGCGCTCCCTGTCCCCCTCTGAGAAAGAAGGGGCTTGGAAGGGACAAAGCAGATGGGGAGCACGAGAAGGCAGTTATGGTCCAATTACCGTCCCAACACATAACCCCACTTTGGATTCTGACCAGATCTGCACAGCCGGTACATTTGGCTAAGTAATCTGGCTGTGCTAATTACCCTGGCCAGATCAGAGCACCATGAAGACTTGCGTTCAGTCCTGAAGGGGTTCATAGTTATATTTTGCAGCAGAGAAAAGCTTGGGTTTCCAGCCACAAAAACCTCGCTGGATCCTTGAGAGATGAAGCCAAACCAAGAGCCCCTTGCATCTTTCAAACCGGGCTGCGCAAAGGAAACCCCCGTTCAAGGAACACGAAGAGCCGTTCTGGGCCAGCCGCCAAAGTGATGCCTGCGCTGCATCCGATTCCTAGCGGCAACTCGCAATGCGTTTGCGACGCGAGAGGAGAGAGTGTGGCAAGATGGGAAGGAGGGGGTGGGAAGCGGGAATGAGAGAGTGGCAAGATCAGTCATTCTCCGGTGATTAGTGCGCAGTCTCTGCCACGGAGACCATGGGACATGCCCTATTAGCTTTAAAATAGACAATTCTTCATTCCACTCAGCCTTTCAAAAGACTCCATATTATCTCTGAAAAAACGCTAGCCTCTGATGGATTGGCGCCAGCAGCAAGCCGCCACTTTGATTTCAGAATTTCAGAGCTCCCGTGCCCTGGCCCTCTCCTCCCATCTCCATCTTATTTTACCACGTTACTGGTCTCTGTTCTCCCCATCCACAAGGAATAGAATTAAAGCTTCAATCAACTTCCTGTACTAGGATGGATTGGCCATATCATCTGTTGAGTCAGCCTGGTTTCTCTCTACTCAGAGCGCTCCCTGGTGGCATTAGTACTTCATTAGCACCAAATTGTTGGAGCAGAATTATTACTGCCGTCTCTCAAGGGTTGCAGAACATTCCAAAAGGAAATGGAGGGTTTTCTCCTAGAGCAGCGGTGGCGAACCTATGGCACATGTGCCGCAGCGGGCATGCAGAGCCCTCTCTGTCAGCACATGGGCCAAGTCGCCCCAGCATCGCCCCAGCAGCCAAGCATCGGATAACAGCGCGCATAGGGGCCATGTGCATGCTCCAAAAGGAGTAGCGGCGCCCGGCAATGACGTCAGGAGCCACAGCTCATTAGCCGCAACTCGTCCGAGCTTTCGCATTGCACTGCCACGGATATATAGTTGCTTGGACTGGCTGTGAGTTGTTTTTTCTCAATGAAAACCTCAGTTTTCTTGTTTTATTGCAGTGTTGGCACTTTGTGACAAATGAGTGGGTTTTGGGTTGCAGTTTGGGCACTCGGTCTCTAAAAGGTTCGCCATCACTGTCCTAGAGTGACGGACTTCTACAGAGATGTGGAACAGTGAAATCGGATTCATCAGGAAGGCTGGAAGCAGCTGCAGGTTGCGGGGAAGTCAAGCTGGTTTATGGAGAGTTCAAATTGAGGCACATGTGCGCAAAGACCTGTGTACACGATGCTTCATAATATGTTCCAAGAGCTCGCATCAGGAGGAGGAGGATAGGCAGGTCCAGTCCTGGAATCCTGGAGCGAAGGCTCAGGAGCACCACACCATGAAGTGCCGAAGGGACGATGAGCATTATCTGCAGGGAAGCCTATTGTGTGAGGAAAGTGCTGTTTCGGCTCTCGGCTCAAGAGACAAGTCTCCCTCCTTGTGCCTTTTCTTAAAGCCCACTGCAGTCGCAGAACGTAAAGAGAATTGCAACTCCCTCTTCATGCAGAGAGCAATAAGCTGCACTTAGTTAACCTAGGCTGCTTTTTCCCAATGTCGTTTATAACAATGAAGAAGACCACAGCTAAAGCAAACAGGGTGGGAAGTGTTACGGAGCAGGCCTGAGAAAGCCTCCTCTTCCTTCCAGCATGATCAGAGCTCGGGGCATGTGTGTTTTTCTGTGCTGCGGCATAATTTGCACTTCTTCCGAGCACCAGGGGTCCTGCTTTCTCTTCCCCTCCCTCTCCTTTTCTGTTTGTGGTTTAATTAGTATTTCCAAGAGCTGTGATCCCACTGGGAAGCGCGGGTAAAATACAAGGGAAGGATAACCACGAACAATGATTCTTAATTAGCAAATGCTTCAGCTCCCTGCTGCTGTCTGCCCATGAGCAAGGGAGCGAGATGCAGGCAGCAAAGGCAGCGGGGCTGTCTCCAACCTACCTGCACTGGGCTGCACCAGTGGCCTGCCTGCACAGGCTCCGGGCAACACTCGCCTGCTCACAACCGCCGTTTCGCACTCTTGGTGCCCGATCCAAGGTGCCGACGTGGATGCTGCCATTCTCCCCCCGGCTGGAACGTTTGCCGCACATACAACATGTTGCGTTGCACCACTAGCTGCTGGTCACACAGGCTGTGTCTTTCTTTGGAACCGACAGGATCTCACAAAGAGAAGCCGCGGCGTCTTTGTGCCAAATTAAGCCCCACCCTGCACCTGGCCTGCCCTGTGTTTCAAGGGACACGCAAGCAGGAACGTGAGCGCGAAGGACCCTCTGTGCCGTCTCAACCCTGCAGTGTTCCTCACTTGCCCTGAATTCCCAAGCAGCGCGCAGCCTTCTGGGTCATGCCTCCCCTGCACGTGTGGAGACGAAAGTGCCCGAAATGCATTTATGCCCGGAATGCATTCCCAGCTCTCTGCGCCACTGCTGCTGCAAAGTATCTGCAGCATTTCAAGGCAGGGCTTGCAACCCTAAAACCCAACAGCACGGTGAAGATACGGAACCACCAGTTTCACATAAAATTGAAACAAGAATAAAAGCCTCCGATAGTGGAAAGATCAGAAAATGCACGAGCGTGATTTTTAAAACCGAAGGGCTAAGAAAGAAAAGTTCTGAAATGAGCACAATGCAGGTCCCAGCCGAGCCTCTCTGGGGAGATCGTTCCACAGCCAGGGGGCCACCACCGGAAAAGCCCTACCGTTACTGACCACCTGCCACGCCTCACTCTGCTCTTGCTCGGCAAGGCCCTCCTCACGCGGTACTTCAATACACCACGTCAAAGTGATGGGACCCGATTATTAAAAAGCAAAGCATTCTAGCTTTTTTGGTTAGAAACTGAGGGAAATATTTTGTTAGGAAGCCCAGAGATTCTCTCAGGTCTGCCTATGGTCGCCTACTGTATCCTGACTTTTTTTTCTCCTTCCCGCAGACTTTGCCACTTTAGAAACACCGTTTCCTGCCCCAACGCTCCAGCCGGGCCCGTGCATGGCATGGCTTACCTGCCGCCCTTCGCTCCTCCAGATGCCATTCACAGTCTTGGTGGGGGCGATGGTCACGACGGGGGGCGTGCTTGGCACTGTGTGCCCTCCTGGCGGGACAATGAGGGGCCCCATCGGTCCTCGCTTGGGTGTGCTTGCAGGAGAGCTGTGGTTGGTGGCCGGAGAAGAAACTGGAGAAGACTCGCTGCTTATCGAAGACCCTGTGAACAGATCGACAGAGATCCGTATTAGACGGGAAGTGCTGATACGTCTGGAGAGTGTCCCGTCGTAGGAGGATTCTGAGCATGATCTTCCAGCACGTCTTCATGATGCTCAGCTGTGCAAAGAGTGTGTCCTCAGACACTGTTTCAGAGGAACCCAAGGGCATTTGGTCAGACTCCCACATTTCTCCCGGGGGGTCTGCGACCACTGGTTTCGGCGGCACCCATCTGCCAGATCAGGAACAGAGACTGTCATGGGGGTGGGGGGCACGTTTGTATCCAGGCGGCAGCCTGTGGGGCAGGGGAGCCCATGCACTTCTTCCTCCCAGACGCTTGAGAACACGAGGGGCATCACTGTTTGAGGGGCACGTGCTCTGCGGCGGCCGAAGCAGAACACACAGATCTCAAGGACAGATGCGACATCAACGGACAGACCCTCTCGCAGCTTTTCAGCACTATTTTCTTTTCCTCATAAGGAGTTGAATATTTTGCCACATCAGCTTAAAGAAACATTTTGTCTTATAGACCTATGAACCTGGCTAGGTGGCGATCCCTGAGCTACACGACCCTCTTGCTCCCAAATGGGGAAGACGCTTCTCCCCACTGCACCCCAGTCTCTGGGCCACGCTTGACCAACTGTCTAACGCGTACTGGGCATGGCACAGACATCAAAAGCGACCCAGCGCATGGTTACAAGCAGTTACTGCCACCACTGATCTCACATCGAGCGCTACTGCGCAGCCACCTTTAAAGCCCCCACCTGTTGAGCACTGGCAAGAAAGAATGGCTTCCAGCGGGAAACGAGCCAGGAGGAAGGCAGGGCCGCAAGGTGAAAAGGCTAATGGAACCGACATGCTCTCTGAGTGCTAGGGCAGTAGGAGAGCCAGCGGCCGCTTTGTTTCAGGAAAAATCAGCATCCATCCCAAACCAAACCTGAAAAACGTGCAGGGGCCGGAAAACTGCCTATAAAGAGACGAACATTTGCGTAAATGGAACAACTCTTCTAACTCTTGAGTACAGTTTTGCTGCAATTTGCATAACACGCCTGTATTTTAACCCCCCCCCCCCCAGGAGAAGTTGCTGATATTTGCAAGGGAAAAACACCACCATAGGAATGGAAGCAAGAGCAGTGCGCACTGAGGAAAAGGTGGCTGGTGCAGAAATACAAATAGGATGTTAACTAGGGCATCCTTGTTGGATAGCTTTGTGCACCTCAATGCAAATAACGCACATGAAAAGCGAATCAAAACCAGGGCAAGTCTCTGTGTGCACAAACATGGGCATTCAAATCAGGAAGCAGCCATTCCGAGTTAAAGAAAAGCGATTTCCATTTGGCAGCAAATGTTGGCAAGGGAGCTGTGTCGCCGTGTTTTTGAGCAGGACTCTGGGCAGAGCTGCCATGATTTGGACCCTTTGGGGACATGCCCAGGGACAGCTTGCACACATGCCGAATGGGTTTGGCCAGTGGTCCACGAGACAAGGAAGCCAAGTAAGGCTGACTTCACTGCCAGGAGTGAACTGCCAAGGGCTTGCTAGAATATTCAAGTGAGGAAACCTGTGGTTTCACTGGGCCTTAACCAGGAGCTTATAGACAAGCCAGCACATTTCTCTGGCTGTGCCAGTCGGCCAAAAATGTGCTTTTGCTGGGACTTGGTCAAAGAGCAGGGTCTTGCCCCCTGTGACATGCGAGGTGTCTGAAATGCAAAAGGAGGTGTGTGTGTGGGGGGGACCCCCTCCTGTCCCACTAGAGAGGTGGGGAACACAGACTGCTTCCCCGCACACACCACGGCTCCCAGCTGGAGGGGCAGAGACAGGTCATGGTGCTCAACTTGGGGCAGACAAGCGCAGAGCCAAATGAATCCCAGGCATGAGCCAAATCTTGGGACTGGGCGGTGGGGGGGGGGTCACTCCCTCTCCTAACCCCCTTGCATCAGGCGCACCTCATTCCTGGAGCCTTGGTTCCCCTGTCATCACAGTGAGGGAGGGAGAGTGTGCCTGCGTGTAAGATGACGGAACCCTGTCTAAGGACCCCGAAAATCCCCCAGCTTTAGAGAGCTCTCCAGCAGGCGAGCAAGGCATTCAAAGCACAAAAGGGAAGAGCTCAGCACGGCCCAAGGTATCTTGATTAATAAGAAGCAACAACAAACAGCACCACGGCCTGTCGGTGCACCCACTGCCGCTTCACAGACGTTCGTCAGCAGAAAGGAGGCGCGTCGTCCCGACCCAAAATCCGGGTGGCAGCTGTGCCGCTTCCCGCCCTAGCCGGAAACGGTCTGTTCTGGAAACGTCAAGTGGACGGGATGGATTTCACGTCACTGTGTGCTCTGCTCGACGGACCACTCTGTGAAAGCCCGCAGGCCTCTCTTCCTCACCCCCATTTCTACTGGAGCCCGACGCTCCTGGGGGCAAAGCTTTGGAGGGAGGACAGAGGCGCTCGGGGACGGCGGAGAGCACGGCAAAAGGAGGGCAGGCTGAAGCACTGCCGGCTAGAGCGCTTTATTAATGACTCCTGGGTTATTGCGCCGTACTTTCATTCTGGAGAGCTGCCACACGGATGCTGCTGCGCGTGACAAAGGAAGCCGCCGATATGGATTTGACACCCACTGAAGTCTATCTTGTCAGCGCGAGGCCGACAACAATTAGCAGGTTTAATCCCCTCTGAGCTGGGAGGCCATTACTCACCACGCCAGAGCCTTATCAATCAATAGCATCACAAAGAGCCGGGCAATTAATGAAGCCAAAGTCTTACTTCAGAACCCTTAATTCTCACTGTGTGGCTTTAAAAGGGGAGGGTTTGTGATCGTTATAATTAACTGGCGGTATTCAGCCAGGAGTTAGTCAATGAAACTAATCTGGCTTGGAGATGACAAGAGGCACTGTGTGGCAGCTTCACCTTTGTTGTCTGACCTCCTGCTTTCCACTCAGTGATAGCAGATTAGCAGGCAAGGCTGACAGGCAAAGGTAATTAACAGCTGAGACCCTGACGAAGCAGCAAAGGCGGGGAGGGGGGAGCAGCGGAAAAAAGCCCAGTGAGGATCTGAACCCAGTGAAGCTGACAATCAGCAGATGTGGCTGCCCGGATTTGCTTTGTGATTTCTTCTGCTCGCCCTGCTGGAAAGGGACGTGCCCCCCAATCGAAACGGGCGGGGATGATCCCCAGCTGACAGCCAGAAACGGGCCCGGGGGGTGCCTGGCCTCTCCAATGCGCCACAAACCGTTCTAGACCAACAGCGCGATTCATTTCTGAAGAAGGAGCCCTGTGTGCATGGAGCAAGACGCTGCGCCCTCTGACCCAGAACATCTCCTTCGCCAACCCGGCGCACATCAAGGCTGGTTGGGGCCACTGCAGGCGCTTCTGGGCAAGGGAGGACGAGGCTTTGCCTGTGCTCAATCAGTCCGAGCGAGCCACTCCTGGTTCTGTGTTCTGGCACAGCTTCCCGACAGAGCCACCCCGTCTCCAGCCAGCGCTGCTCCTTCCCACATTTGATGCTGGTGGGGAAGGAAGAACGCCAGATTAATCAGCACAGCTCTTGCCCAAGCCAGCCCAGAGTTGGCATCTCACTGCAGACGCAAAAGGAAGGCTAGAAGGCCCAGAGGGTGACAGAGGAGGAGTGGGGGAAGCAAAGTGAATGCCTGTTTACCGATTTCGTTTGATGAATGTATAGACTGCCCTTCAAAGCACAAGACGGTACAAAACAGCGCAGCGTGCAAATAAAATACAAGGATAAAAAACAGCAATGAAAAGGTCTACCAAGCTAGTTACCAGAGCCAGCAACTGAAGTTCGACAGGGCCCTGCAAACCACCCAGAATGCTGCACAGAGCAGAGAGTTCGGTGAAACCACCACAGAGAAGGCCCTGCCCTTGCTTGCCTCCGGACATAGCTCGGCAGGCGACCACACGAACGAGAGGCTGTGCTCTGCAGATCTCCACGAACAGGCAGGAGGATATGAGCTTCCTCAGGCTTCTAGGCGTTCTGCCTCCCAGCCCTCCGTCCACACCAGGCAGGAATGTTTTGTTACCGGCTAGCTGGCGGCAGCAGACAGCGGCAGTGGGAGAGCTGAGCCACGTCGTGTCTCTACCCCCACCGCCACCGTGTCTGTGTTTAAAAATGCTTAAATGCTTTCTGCAACAATGCCTCGCCTTCTGCTCAGAACAATCTGCGCACTATCTAGCAGTATCTTCTCCCCCTCAAGAGAAAGCTTCTCCAGACCTCACCTAGCAGCTTACGCTTCCTGGGGGCCAATTTCTTCTGAACACATTCCCTGCAACAGCCGCCTCGCACCCACACCCCAAATCCCTTTGAACTCTGCATCAAATCGCAGCGCTCCCAGAACTCAATTAACATCCATTTGATATCAATAAATACGTTGAGCAACTGCCTGCTTCTGGAAGGCCTTGGCTCTCAGCTGGCACAGATATCCTGTGCGTGTGCACACGCTCACACGCAAATGCACGCACGCACACCTTTCCAGCTGCTTCAGAGGCTGTGTAGCTTGTGTTCTTCTGCAGATGAGAGAGAATAAAATTGCAAGGAAGAAGCCATGCCAGTCCAAGCCTGTGGAGTGCGGCGCCCCCGGCTGTCCCTTGTTTTCACCCCATTAAAAGCCATGTTTCATATCGAGTGATGCCGTTGAGCAGAGGCGGCCGGACCTCTGTCTAAAGGCGGCTTTGCCTTCTCAGCTTGATTCACAGAAAGCTCTTTGGACCCGGACCAAACCGTCTGAGCATCATCAGCGAATCGACTCAACTGCCAGACATGTAGCCCATCTGCAGTTCGGAGCACACCAGGCCGGGGACGGCCGGATTAAGAAGACTGGGTGGGGAGGGATCAGGGTTCAAAGCCCCATTGAGCCATGAAGCTTGCTAAACAAGTGCGTGCGTGCGTGTGCGTGCGTGCGAGCACATAGTGGGTGGACGACAACTACAAACTGCGGTCTTTTGACCTTTACCACTGTGCCCAGATTTTTAATTTCTCTCTCTTTGCCCCATTCTTCATAACATCCATCTTGAAGAAGAGCTCTGGAAGGATCCCACAGCTTGCTCACTGCTTTGTGACACTTCCGTTGGCCCGAATACAAGTTATTACTTGGCTTTGTATTTCACTTAACTCCTATGACCCTTACAGCACAGGCAGGTTCAAGGCGCAAGTAAAGGAGAAAAGTGCATCAAGAAACAGAACACTGCAGGTGATGGTGCCATGAGGGGACCGCTCTCGCTGGGGAAACTGACCAGACCGTCTCCCTACTTTTACTCGGGTTCTGGAACTCTTCTTGCGCCATCAGACTTCAAACAACGGATTTCATTCCTTTTGCTGGCTCTTCGCTTAGATTCTTATGCTGATGCGCTTTTAAACTGTTTGACACGGTGTAATTTATTGCTTTGTTTTCCTTTTCATAAGCCGTCTTGGAAAAGAAATTTATTTTGAAAGGCAGCCTAACCTGCCTTAATTAAATAAAATAAACCTCAGTCTCTGGCAAAGATTGGTTTACAGATCTAATTGTCCTGGGATAATGCACTCTCGTGGAGACTAGAGCAAGCCGGCAAGTTTTGCGTTTCCACAGACGCAGTAATCCCAGTTGGCAAGTGGGTGCTGCTAGCTCACTCAGAAACATGCATGTCAGTCGCACATTATGAAGGAATTGCTTAGAAGGCCAGCGCTACCCATTTCACAGATGGCGGACACTGGCAACATTTAATTTCCTAACTGTTTCCTGCCAGTCAGCAGGCAGCGTCCACCCAGAATTCAAGCACCTTATCTATAAAAAGGCTCCTAGGTAGGTCACCCCTGGATATTTGCTTTGGGAACATGACTTAGGATGGTCTATTTCTTCCGGGTCACTGACACTGTTCTGCGCACGAAGCTGCCCCACACCCTGGCCCCTCTCTCTGCTCTAAAAACCTCCCTGCCTTACCTGCCATTCTTGCCAGATCTTACTCGGCGCTTCCCGACATTCATAATCTCATATTAAGCATCTCTAAGCTGAGGCATTGCTAGGAGAACACAGGCGGAAGATAGAAAAGGGGGATTTGGGGCAGTGGGGGCAATCAAATTATATAGTAGTTAAATTTAAATCAAAGGGAAGGGGCGGGGGGAACACACAGCTTTTCATTACCAACCAAATTTTGTTGGGGCAGGTATTTGTATAAAAGGAAAATTACTGCATGCAGGAGAGAGCTGGCGAGGAGCATTTGAACATCAGGAAATCAATGTCAAAATCCACTAATGTCGCTGCTTTTGATGGGCTAAGCAGCAGGCTGAATGAGAGGAGGATGGAGGAGGAGGGGGAACACACCACCCTGTGGGGAGATCTGGGGGAGGCGAGAGAGAGACGGGTGAGGCATCTTCCAATCTATAAGTGTTTCACAAATTGATTTCCCTTTGGGTGGAAGGGAAGGGAAGGGGAGGCTGTTCCCATTATCCACCTTGGGGGCTTCGGTGATTAACACTCTGCAGAAACGATGGGCAATTTCTACCACCATGGTGCATTCGCTGCCTCTGTTAAGCCTGGCTTTCTGTCTTGCTCGGTGCGTTTTAGGGCCTGAGATGGCCTGCTTCGTTCATCCTTTATCCGACTCGCTCAGAATGCCGTCTTTCATCTTTACCCCCATCTCTCTGCAGCCCATGCTTAGTGCTCCCAACCAGGCACTCCACCCAGAAAGAAGGAGTACCTCCGGACATACACAGACTGCCTGCCCAACTTTCTGGGGAAGCCATAAACAGATCCTGAGGAGGAAAGCTCTGCAAGCCAGTTTCCTGGCACAACTGAAACCTGGCCATGGAGAAATGGAGTCCAGCTTGCTTCGCAGGCGGATGGCAGGAGCAGCCGCCCATCTCCATGGTGGCAAGTGGACTCCCGACAGTCGCTTGCCGTTCCTCACAGCGTCCAGGCGGCTCTCCAAGCCGTGAGGGCAGCACTTCACCCTGGCTGCGATTGTCAACTTGCCCACCTGAACAGAGGCACTGGGCACAGCCCTGCAGCCCAGCCTTCTCCTCTCCTTTGACTGAGGTCACTGCCACATGCAGCAACCCCTCTGCATGAGGAAAGCAGTGTCTAAAAGGAGCAGATGTGGAGGAGTGAGCCCACCCCTGCGTGGCCCCTTCCGGTGCCAGAACGCTCTTGGGAACGGCTGACCGGCCGTGGACCTGTGACCGGAGCTGGGCCGCCCTCTGCTTCAGGTGGCCCCGTTTGAACAACCTGAAACATCAGGCGAAGACGGGGGGCCGGAACGCGCTGCTGCTTGCGCCACGCTGCATTCTGGCAGAGGTGGTAAGAAATCGCTCTGCCGCTCCTTGCCCCTGGGGAGCAGGCGGGTGTTGGTGGCTGGAACGTGACGCGAGTCCAGCAGGCGAGTTTCCACCTGGCAGCAGGTGCAGGAAGCCGTGGGCCTCACGGGACCCTTCCTCTCCAAGGCAACGTGACAGGTTGCCAGCCGACCTCCGCAGGTTCCACACGGCGTGCGGGGGAGCAAACGGACGGCTCGCCTTCGTGTGCTCATGGGGGGCCAAGCGCAGTCGCTGTTCCCCCTCAATTAACACTGAAAGAAGGCTGTGAGGTGGAGGGTGCCTGGAGGGACATTTCACGCACGCTCATGCAATGGAAGGGGGGGTGCGCCGTTGCTCTCCTGGGGCCAGAACAAGAGGCTTAAGGAGAAAATTTAGGAACGATGCGTCTGCACTGCACAGTCTTAAATTTGCACCCCAGAAATCCTGGCTGCAAGTTCAGGCTTTCGGAAAGGAAGCTCGGTGTGGCAAGACATGCGACCCGCAGGCCGAGGTGCTCGGTTCAGCCTCGGGCACCTCTAGTTACAGGCATCAGACCAGCGGCGGCAGGGCAGGGCTGAGCCTTGCACAGGGACCTAGGAGGCATCTTCTACGGGGCACACCCCAGGCCCGTCCAGCCCTGGCCCATCCACTCCGGCTGGAATTTCGCCTGCCCTTCCTGGCCGAAGAAGCTGGCTATCGCTCCTGGGAGTGTCTACGTGCAAAGCAGGGGCCCGTCAAAGAGCCACGCCTCGGCCATCGCTCAGACGTAGAGCCGGGCCCACATGTCGACCGGGGTAGGGAACCTCTCCGCACCTGTGGGTTCGCTTGGCATCTCTCCGGGGCACCAGCACAAAATGGCTGCTGCAGGAGCCTGGCTAACCACAATGGATGAGCACCCTGCCCCCAAGGCTAAGTGCAAAGGATGGGTGGGCTCCGAGCGGCCCACCCCTCGTGCGGACCATGCCAGGCAAGACGGAAAAACCCAGTGGAAGGCACCCTCCTCTATTCGCCAATGCAGCTGCTTCGCTTTGTTCCCCCGGTGCGCAAGTGGGACCTTCTGCAGCCGGGGCGCATGGATCCGAGGCAGGCAGCTGCTTCAGCAGAAAGGGACAGAAGCCCCAGGCTCGGGAAGCCTTCCTCTTCCTGCCTGTGCCAGCAAAAAGCCTCTGCAGCCCCCACACGCCGCCTGGGCCCCCCTCGCCGCTCGGCTAATTCCTCCTCCTCCCCCCGCTGCTCCAAGGCGTCCGCCTTCAGCCGGGCTCCCGTTAAATAGCCCATTAAAGAGAAAAATATTCAGATGTGCATTTCACCATACTGGGCACCCAGCAGCGGCTGACTTTGTTATTTAGGGGGGAGCTTTGGATGGTGAAAGAACACATTTAGGAGCCTTAGGAAAAATAAAATTTCAATGAAGCATGGCAGCGGCGATGAGGCCTACTTGTGGGGGAACGGACGGGTTCTTTCGTGCACTTGTCTCTCGCTCAGACTTTCTCTCAGGGTACAGCAAATGATATGGCATTTGGATTACTCCGTCTGAATTGAATTTTTAAACTGCCCCCTCGAGACACGATGCCGAGGAAAGACATTAGCCCATCAAGCGGCAGGGGGAAAGAGAACAAAATCTGACAGCTAAAAATAAAACGAGCGCTTGAGTGGGAAGGGGAAGGAGGGGCGTCAGAGGCTGGCTGTGGGCAGGGGAGGTTGGCCGCAGGAGCCATGGGACCAGCCCCCTGCAGGCTGCCAAGGCCGAGGCTTGATGCTGCACCTGGTCAAAGGCCGTTGGGTTTGCTCTCTCGGTGGATGCGAGCAGCACTGCCCTTTAATTGTGCCTTTCAGGTCCTCTTGGTCCTAGATACAATCTGTAGCTTCCCCCACCCTACCTAGATACATATGGATTTTGATATTGCGAGTACCTGATTTGCTAGTTATTTATAAATCCATGCAACATCAGATACTCATTTTTTCCCTTTCAGATGGTGAGACTCGGGGATGTATAAGAGAGTGGCAAAGGACAGGGAAACGGCTGAAAGCCGGGCACACGCTGGGGGGACACCAGGGGGATCGGGGCGAGACCCTCCGAGCTGCTGACCCGCTGGGCTCCGCACCTGCCGGCCCCCCCGCCTGCGCACCAGCGCCCTTCCTCGGGCGGCTCCCCCCTCCCGGGCCACGGGCTGCATCCTCCCTCGCTCTTACCTCTGGGTTCCTCGGCCTGCTTGGCGAGCTTGCGCAGGGCGGCGGCGAAGCTGGAGGAGGGCGCGGACTGGACGGGCAAGGAGCTGCTGGCGGCCGGGCTGCCGCTGGGCACAAGGGAGCCATTGAGAGGCGAGGGGGTCAGGGGGCTGACTGTGGCGGTGGTCCGGGTCGCAGTTGAAAGCATTCCTAGAGAAGGTGACTTTGGCTCATGGCTCATGCCTGGAAGAACGAAAAGAAGAATCCGTGTCACTGGGAGAGAAGGCGTCAGTCGCATCCCCCAGGGAGCAAGAACCTGCCGCCAGGGAGGCACGCGAGGGGCAGCGGCTGGAGCTGGGGCGGCCAGACGGCCCTCGCAGCTGCTCCCAGGCCTCCACGGCTCCCCACAGGGAGGCCTCCAAGCCCTCGAAAGGGCCACGCTTTCGGCCGGGGAAAGCGTCGCAGCCCCCACTGGGCGGGGGACGGAAAGCAGGTGTCCGGAGAAGGGAGTGGGGAGTCATTGGTCCTGCCACGTTCACACCTGAATGACACCTTGGGCAGTGCGCCGTCCTACCCTGCCGGGGGGAAATGTGATGAATTACGACTGCCATAAATGGAGGAGGAGGAAGATGCGACCGCGCAAATGAGCAGCTGCATCGGCACACCTGCCTTTGCCGTCTGCCCCATGTCCCAGGCGTGTCGGAGGCAATCAAGAGCAGCCTGCTCCCTTTCTCGGGGGCTCAACACGCCGTCGCCCCCTCTCTTGGCAGAGGACTGGCCAAGTCGATTTGGATCCCTGCTCACCCCGCTGCCCCAAACTGTGGTACCAACAGCAGTCCATGAGAAGGCTGCCCCTGGGAAAAGCTGGAGCAGAGCAAGCGGAAGAGGGGCACCAGGGAATGAGTTTGCCCCAAAGGGAACGGTGGGGGGGGGGGGTTCTGCCCAGCAAACCTCTTACTGGCCTCGGAAATTCACCATCAAAAGAAGACGCACGGGGCAAACCCAGGCAGCCCTTCACAGGCCGATCCGTCTATGTAGGTCAGCTTTCTCCACCCTGGAATCCTGCAGACGTGTGGGGCTGCAGCTCCCTTTCCGGCCAGCCGGGAGGCGCCGGGGCTGCAATTCAGAGCTGCAGTCCCAAGAGGCCAGCAGGGCACCAGTGGTGCTCCGTGGTGGTCCGAGTGCACTTCCACTGGACATAACTGGGGGGGGGGAGGTGTTGAGGCGCAACTCCAGGCATGCGCATAAATGTGCGAGAATGAGAGCAGCGCTTGCAGGGCCACTCAAGCCACAAGCTCTGAAAGCAGCAGAGAGAAGCCGTGGCCAAGGCAGCCCGGAGAGGCAAGCCAAGTCCCAATCAGCCCTCCCCGGGGAGGGAGTTTCAGCAAGATGGAGGCTTCCGGTAGCTTCCTCTTCTGGCAGCCGGAATCCCTCTTTGGCTTGCACGCTTGGCTCTGACACAGCTCCCCCTTGCCCTTCCAGCCAAATCAGAGAAAACAACCCACAAAGCAAGCGTTAAAAGGGCTGTTTGCAGGATCTCAGCCCGAGGCAAGAGTCTTCCGCCATCCAATGGGAGCTGCAGGGCACCATCTGCCAGCACACACCAGCCCTGAGCCTTTTCAGAAAAGTGCATCCCCAAAGAAAGAGGAGGGGGACCCCCCCCCCCACACACACACACACACGCAAGCGCCTCCACGCAGCAGCCCGGGTCTCCTGCAAAGAATGCTGTTAAGGAAATCAAAGCGCTGACACAGGCCCGCCCCGAGGGCAGCTCGTGGTTCTTCCATCTGTAGACAGAAACACGCAGGCTGAACAGAGGCTGGCTCGAGGGGTTAATTTCTGCAGAGCGTGAGGGTTTCATAGCGTGTGCCAGCCAGCTAAGGGAGCTGTGCCAGGCACCTCTCCGGAACAGTTCCACCTGCCAGACCACCTAGCGAGCGCGCGCGCGCAAAACCCCACGTGCAGGAAGCACACTCGGAAGCAGGGGTGGTGTGTGTGTCGTGTGTGTTCCTCCAGCTGGGAGGGGTCTTGCTGGACACGAGAGAAAACTACTGGGGACAGAGAAGAGAGAGGAGCTGAAGCTGTAGTAAGGCAAACGTGGTTTCTCAGTATGCCTGCAGGTGCACTACCGAAGTGCAAAAATGGGTCTTTGCCACAGAAGCCAGCAGGCCAAACATCTCAGAAGGAGGGCTTCTAGTCCTCATGATTGTGCTGAACCGTGTGAAAAGGCATGGGCAGCCACTGAAGGGAGGCAGTGGGGGAGCTTCCGTCTTTTCTAGCTCTCTGTTTCTCCAAAGAGCTTCTAGAAAGAGAACAGAATTGCACCACCTGAGCTAACAAGAGGCACGTTTGCAAAGTTCAGGCTGTGCACAGTGAAGAATTCGGTGGGCTGTTTTACTCAAGCACGTGTCCCGGCTGACAGTTCTGGGCCACACTGCGATTTCAGCACACGGCTCCCGCCGCCCGGAATGGAAGCAGCCCTGGCTTTCGACCAAGCGGCAGCTGCCCGCAGCAAGCGAGCTGCGGTTTTTCAGGCCCGGCAGCTGCCGAGGGGTCATGTGGTCCCGGGTCATCTGCGACCCACCGGGACCACCTGCGCCTGCCAAAAGGCCTCGCTGGGCGCGGCCGAGGCGGCTGCATCGATCCAGGAGGCCAACTCCGCTCCCTGCGCTATGTGCTGCCGGAGGAAACAGACTGTGTGCCAGCAGCGGATTATCGAGAGGATGCCTGCAAGGAGTCGGCAGGAATTGCGAGTAGCAGGGGTTGCCTGCAGAAGCCCCCAGCTGGGGAAAGGGAGGGAGGGAGGCCAGTCTTTGGGGCTGACTTTGGCCCTTGGCCTTCTCCCTTCCCCTTAGCCTCTTGGACTCCTGGGCTACTGATGCCCCGAAATTCACGATGAAGACCCCTCCCTTCAGACTGCCTGCCTGCAGGGGGAGCCCTGCGGAGGGTGCAGAATGAGGAAGCGGAGAGCATCCTTCGGAAAAAGCCCCCCCCCCCCGCCAACCCAAGACAATCCCCGACGACGACACCACAGGAGGTGGGGAGGGACAGCACAAAAGCCCTGAAGGGTCAACGCAGCTGGAAGACGGAGCCAGTGGGCACCCTGCTCCCCGCCCCCGCCCCCTTCAGCCGGTGGGACGCAAGGGGGGCTTTTCAAGGAACATCTCCCTGCCTGGTCTGGCACTCTCTCCGTGTCCAAGGCCATCTGCCATTGCAGGGCCTTCCTTCTGCCCGCAACGCCCCCTCCCCGGCGTCCCACACGGCCTCCTCCCAGCGCAAGCTGGACTGACCTCCCCGCGGGGCCCTCACCTGCCGTGCTCCCATCCGCAGCTCCAGTTCCCGGGGTGGGTGCTGGGAATCTGCCGGGCCGAGCCGCCAGCCTCGCTCTCCCCACCCCGCCTCCCCGGGACTCCTCCACAAGCAAACCGTCCCCTCACGAGCGAGCACTGCACCTCGCCACCCCTGAATGTCAACTCTGCAGGCTTCTGCCTTTGAAAGCAGCACTGCTGATGTCGGGTCACTTAAAATAGAATTTCAAATGAGCAGCTTCATTAGTGCGCTAAAATTAGCATCGCTCTTCAGCTTGTGCTGCAGGGCAAAGGATGGGGGGGGAGTCCCCCTGGCACCGGGCTGGAGCAGAACGGGAGAGACGGGCACGTGGAAAGGGGTCTGCTCACAGCCCCTGGCCTCCCGGAGCCAAAGCAAGTGGCAGCAACCCCTGAACAGCCCTTCCTAGCCTGGAGCCTTCCACGTATGTGGGACTGGGGACGGGGAGATCTTGGAAGCTGCCCAGCCGGGAAGGGCTGCCTTGGCCCATCGCAGCTGGCAAGAAAGCCCTCCTTCTCCCCCGCCCAGGTGCCGAAGCGGCCCTGGGAACGGCCCAACTGTCACTGCCACCTCCTGGCAGGTGCTGCTCCTCAAACCCACTGCCAAGGTCCAGAAGTTCTGCAACCGGCAGCAGCCTTTCGGGAGGACCCGGCCCTGTGAGCAAGGGAGGGAGGCGTTCGCCATCCCGCACAGAGGACGGTCCCACGAAAGCGCACACAGAAACCTGCCGAGCGCAGCGCCCTGAACATTTCTCCCTGTGGCAGCCGCTGTACCTGCTCTCCCCACCTGACCAGGTGGGAATGGCAGCCATGGTGGAGAAGAGGGGCAGCCACCCAGGGCTCTTCCCAGGGGTTGCAGTGGAGGCTTGGACATGGGGCCTGGCCCCGTCTTTAAAAGAGGGTGAAGGTTCTGAAAGGTGTGTGCACACCCTCCCCTTTCTAACAACCGTAAGAAGACCCCACCAGTGGGGGGGGGGCTTTCTCCTCCCACTCTGCACCCAGATCCTTTGCGAAAGGGGACCCAGAGCCCATCTCCCCAGGTAGAGCTCTCACATCCTCCAAACATGCCCATAAAAACCGTTTCTCCTATTCCATTAAATATGGTATCCATGTCCCTCCCCCTGCACCCCCCATGCCCAATAAACGGCTCAAGAAGCATTACTTATCAGCACTCTCCTGCCTCCTGCGGATTCCGTAATTACCGCTGCCTTTCATCTCCAGCTCTTCGCAGACACCGGGCTGTGGGCCTGCTACTTTGGTGCTCTGTAATTACCAGTTAATAGCTCCGATGAATTTTCTGCGTCCCCGTTCAAGTGCCAAATCCAGCCCTCCTTTCTCCTCGACAGCCCCCTTTGGGATAATTATACCTCCGAAAGCAGTGCTCAGCAGGACCCCCCCCAGTTCAGCTGCAGGCCCGAATCCCCTAATCACCCCTTCTCAGTAATTTTTCATTACTGGAGAAAGAAATGTTTGTGAACAAATATGGGACACCCCTGAGCCCCGGGCAGCCGGGGTCTCTCATCCCCGCTCGGGAGACACGTCTCCACCGTTCCCTGGGAACACGCCTAGCCTCAGGAGATGCTAAGCGGCTTCCCAGTCCCATAGCGGCCCTGGTCACACAGGCACGCGGAGGCACTCCAGCCCACGCCGAGAGCAACGCATGATGCTCAGCTGACACACGCGGCCCAAGATGCCTAGTCATGTGCTCCTGCTCCCCAGCTGCCCGCATTTTCCCCCAGCCTGGGACAAAGCAGCCACATCCCCAAGCAGGCAGCCCAAGGACGGCAAACCGAGGGCGAGCGACGGCTGCGACCTGCCTGCCAGAGAAAGGCGGCACCACGAGCTGGAGGCAGAGCGCGTCCGACAAAGGGGACCCGGGGTGTCTTTCCGGAGCCCATTCACACGGGCAGATCGAGA